TGAAACTGACGCGAAGTGATTGCGATGAGAAGCACGCGTTGGTGTCGGAGCTGAGGGCACAGGTGTCGGAGTTGAAGCAGAGGCTGTCGTCGGAGGTCAGGGATCAGGAGATGACCAAAGGTATGGGTGCTGTTGATAGGGGTGTGAATGGGTTGGACTATAGTTGTCGTCGTTTTGTAGTTAGTCTTGTGGTACAGAATATTCTGTAGTCTCTCTCTCTCTCTAATGTTAAAATAGTTTTAATTAAAATATAAACAAAATAATAGTTAAACTATTTATGAGTTAAACAAATAATATATTTAGGTATTATTTTTAGTCAGCCTACTACAATAACAAATATTTACTAAATTAAATACTATAAAAAAATATCTGCCAATGATTCTAATGTTTTTCATATTTTTTATGTAATTTATTTTTTAACTCTTAATTATGATTGTATTAACAAAGTATAGAAACAAATTTAATGTTTTGGTTATTTTTTAAAATTTTGTTGATTTTTTTGGTTTTTATATTTTGAGATTTTTTTTGGATTTTAGTTTTTTATTGAAATAATATTAAGATTTATAACTGAAATAATACCGAAAACCGAACCATTATTTGTATTGTATTCAAATATAATGAACTGGATCATTGGCAGACTTATTAAATATTGAGAGACTTTTTTTTTATATTTAATAAAACATTTCTAAAAATATTAATTTACAGCTTATTTTGTTTTCTAAACAATCAGTATAGTTGACCCATTTATCATACTCACTGTATCTCTATAGTATTACTCATGATTATAGTTAGTACATGGTGTCTATTATAATAAACACAGAATTCACTATTTAATTAATTAATTCAAAACACTACAGTCAACTCTCGCTATAATAAACATACAATTAATTCACATTAAATATAATTACAGGCAATCTTGAGTACAAACTACAGGACGTGGAAAAGGAGCTCCAACTCCGCGAACAGGAACTCCTAACCCAAAAGCAAGAGCACCGGGACCTCAAAGACCAGAAGTTTGAGTTGGAG